TGCAGTGTTTTTGGTTGATATTCTTTGCATTGATGCGAATTCACGATACAGGCGACAGGCCCAGTGAGTGGCAACGATAGTCAATGACATCACATGTTTGAACACTATGCTGCAGCGCACAGTTTTTAGCAATTATTCATATTATTCAGTAAGCAATTATTCAGTAAGATGTTTAAGCCAGTTTATTAAATGTCGGGCAGGATCATAGCCAGATATAAAACCATGCTACAACCAATCGGACGATGAGATTCAGACAACCAATGTTATGATTGTTACAAATAAATGAAGTACACAGCTAGCATGACTACATACTGGACTTATTTTGGGTGATTGTTTGTATGCTTCATGAAATCCATCGCCATGGAAGTCTATAGAAAATATGTAATTTCAACGGTGACCAAATATTTCTACAATAATATTAAATGAATGATATAATGACAATTCCTGAGCCAGGCACAATTTATTTTTACTATAATACAATAACATTGTACTTCTAACATCATATATAGCACCTCCATGGTACTCAAAGTACTGCAAAGGATGCTGGGAAAAAGTTTTACATTTATTGTAATAATATATAAATGTGTAAATACCTGTGAGATCAGACACACGATGCAATCCATTAATTTCACAAACTGTATCTACAAGCATCTGCAGATGTGTACCGTATTTCTTCTCAAAACTCTTCAAGTCTGTTGGATCAGGCTCATTGAGTTTGGAAACTTCACGGAAATCAATCCAAGTAATTCCTGACAGTTCATGTGCAACACTGTGTGGTAAATGTTTCCCTTTATAGTGACTAGATACCATACGCTGACCTTGACCTTTTGGTGTCTGTGTTTCGGGTAATACAAGTGGAATAACACTACGGCCAACTTCCGTTGCCATGCGCACTTCCTTTGTGCACAAGACTGAGGCTAGGTAGTTTTCGGATATACAGCTTATTACACATCCTATTTAAGAAGAAACATCTTTTAATATGACATCGTCTTCCATATGCATACAGATCAGATATTTTCATTTTTAATTACCAACCTCCCGGCGCTATTAAAGGGTGGCAGTCGTCACGCTGCGTCCTGCTCGATATGGGACTCATAGCGACGTACACAACGCATGTAAAATACATTGTTTATTTACATGAAATTCGAACACACACTGCGCGACGACCACCGCGCTTTAACAATTTGATTCATCGATGCATGCAATTTGAATTTTGGTTTCATTTGTATACATTAATCCCCAAG